TTTCACATCGCGCCGCCACAGCAAATAAATTTACAAAATCTGAATGCAACGTATTTCATAGACCAATAAAAATTTCGCTCGGAAATAAATCTAACCTCAATAAAACGCTATAGAAATATTCTATTACTTAAAATATAAATTCTCCTAATTTAACATGATATTTTAAAGTTTGGTACACATGTTAAGATATTTAGTTACATGTGCCACGCGTTCGTGACGTCTGGCTGTAAATCCTGCTGACAGATTCTTAAGATTCCGACGAGACAATATGTGGCCCCGACGTGCATCGAAGGCGAACGTCGGTAGATCACCAATTTACCTCACAGATGGTAGCGGATGGCATGCCGCCGCCGTAACGCCACCAATAAATCGCCAGCATCCCCTCTGCGTCTTTGTGTCTCCTTCGTCTCCACGTCTCGAACACACTTATCGTGACTTTTTTACTTTATTTATTAGCCTAAACAAAATGAGCAAACTACTAATTACACTCCACAAGTCTACATCCACCCCTCATGCGTTAATACTCGGCAAATGAGTGCATTCGTCAATGTAAGCTTTTTAATGCGCGCTTTTTTAATCTCCAAAGTCGTTTTATTACGTTTTTTTATATTCCACATAATTCTTCACAATCATACACACGGTGTAGAATTTATTTTTCAATTCCCCGTACGCCGGCGATTATTTTATTACACTTTTTATTTTCCACTATAGAAAATGAAACAAAAGTTCTGGTTTTCCGGTGCTATCGGGGATGTAATTTATATACACAACAGAAGACGGGAATGGAAAATTGTGCGCCTAATTTGTCGTAATGGAAACACAGTCGAGCGTCAACTTCCAAGAATGCGAAAAACAAAGCGCTCATTATTGGTTTTCGTCACGCATCGTAACCTGCAACACGCGCGCGCGCACCAAAACACAAAAAAGCAAACTCATTGATAGTCAGATAGTGCATCGTGTAATAACACCGTGTAATGCCATTTGTCATTGGTAATTATGAGCGTCGTGTGTTATGATTGCGCGATTATGTCGCAAATTGTCGTCGGAGGTTATTTTTGGCGAAATTATTCGCAATCGACGATAATTTCAAAGATAAGCGATAAATGCAGGTCTCGGGTGCGTGATTACTGTCTTGGGGATACGGTAAACGGAAATGAAAACGTAAATTAATGCAAAGTTCTCTATAAAGTCATAAAAACATTAAAATCAAGGTTGAAAAATACGCAAATTTCGAAAAATGATTAAAAATTAGATCAAGGTGAATGTAATAATCATTGAATTTTTATCTACTAGATTATTTAATAATCTAGTTGAAATGTTCAATTGCACTTCATGAACTAAAATCGTAAACTTCCAATCAGTTGAATGCGATTGTCGAACAACGACGCGCGCGCGCTGCCACCATTTTTCCTCGATCGTAAAACCGACATAATTTACAACTCTCTTTACTCGCCCTTTCGTCCTGTTTTATATAAAAGTATAAATTCCATTCCCAACAATATAAAATTCACCTAACAATCGTCTACAAGCTTCTACAATTTCATTTATTTCGTTCGTCGTCGTTGTTAGAAAATAATGAACATTACAGCAATTGCACTTTTATGACAATTATTACACAAAGCGGCAAACATGCGAATTGCAGTTGGCAAGCCGGCGCAAAACCATTTCGTATGCTTATTATGTGCACGTGAAGTGTTTTTATTAGTTGATACGCGCATAAAACTGCGTTTATCAAGATGCAACGTCCGCGACTGTCCGAATCCGGATAAAGACTACACTCGGACAAATAATACAAAAGTATGCATACAATGAGTGCATTAAAAAGTTCATTTGCATTCACGTTTTCAGTTAGAAGCACAAACAATGCGTAATTAGAGTTTCGAGTAGAGTATAATTGTTATTTTCGACAAAATACGAATTAAAACATAAAATTTTCTAAATTAAATATTTTTTATGATTTTCCGCGTAATAAAATTCAATTCGGTGTAAATTTTTATACGCGACATCAATTAGTCAACTAATTATACGCGAAACGCACAAACAGCTTTCATCCCTCAGTGCGAGGGATTAAAAAAAACACTCGCATACAAATGCAGAACAAAAAAGTGCAGCTTACTGCTCTGCTGCCTTCATACATAACACGGGGGTGGTGGAAGTATGTAATGTAGATAAAGGCAGATAAAAAGCATAATGAGTTGTTAGCCCCGGCATTCCGCATTCCGGCAGAAAGAAAAATGCGCTCGGTCGTTAATTAGCTGCGAGCGCAGCGCATAAAAGCAGAAAATTTCACGTTTCTTGCCCGTCTAAGGGTGGAATTTTCAAAAATAAGGTTTTGTAAGATTACGAAATGGGTAAATGTCAAAGCAGCAAAAAAATATCCGGCGATTTTTCTTCGCTCTTCCTGAATTTTCAATTGAGCCATAACGAAGTATGAGAATTTATTGGTGCCACCCAAGGTTTCACTCGAAAAATTCCTAGTTGTCAATGACACGTGAATAAATATATTCAACCAGACAAGTTTTGTTTTTATTTTGGATCTTTTACTTTGTATTTACTAAGAATGCATAAATTAAAACTGTCTGTTCACCTTTTGTAAACCATGTGAATCTCAGCATGTGCGCTAGCAATTTTCACAGTTCCTAAGTAAAATAATTTTTGCCCGACAATAAACCCTAAACAAATAAGAGCAAAATATTGAAATTTCGCACAGTGAACAATAACTTTATTGAGTCGTTCAACTCCGCTCCACGATAGAATATTTATAAATCACGAATCATTTTTAACTACCCCGTCGTTGTCGTTCATGTCGGCCGTGTGCATTATTGATGATTGTGTTTTGTGATATGAATAAAACTGTCAGCCGGCCACATATTGCCCTGTTCCATGACGATGTATTGTTTCACCGGACGAGGAAAAAAAGGACGACGACGAAATTGAGCATCGAGGAAAACGAAAACAAGAAAATCAATCATTTCCCCAAACGCGGTTGTAATAAACCACGCACGGCTTGCAGCAGCGCGAATATATCATGTGTATGATGTGTGGAGAGTTCATCGGAGGCGGCAGTAGTAAATGTGAATAGAGAGCATAATGCTTTCGATGGTTGCTCAAATATTGAACGGTATTGAGAGCAAATTCCAATTTTATTGTGAATAAGTGCAGATATGGATTTGGAGAGATAAGTAAACATTCAAAATGGATACACTACTCATAAATATTTTACGTAAAAATTAAAAAAAAATTAAAAAATTAAAAATACCGGTATTGTTACATTACCGGTATTGTAATATTTTTCTTACCCCTATTTTGACTATTTACGCACCCTATCTCTTCATCTCCCAACCATTGGCGATTTATTTATTCCCAGCAACTTTCACTGACCCCATAATCGCCGGTTCGTGCGATTAAGAAAACACAGGCGTGCGTAATGAATAGATAACGATCGAATCGATAACAAAGACGTGTAACGTGTCCTGTCTGGACTTTAATGTGTTCACTGAATGTCACGTCACGGTCTCATGCCTCGGGGCGACATTCCCATGTTCCCGACGTGAGTTGAACATTGTCGAATTGTCAAAAGTGAAGAAAAGCGAATGCAAAGTGATGCGTCTTAGCCAAAAGATTGACGTATTTATTTTTAGTCAATATGCGACGGTAAATAAATCATTACGACTACGACCACAGCGGAATTTTGTCCTATTCTATTTTTGAGAATTGGGGATTATTTGATGAAGTGCCAACTGTCACTAAGGCTATTAGTTTTTGTCACAGAGGTAAAGTAACTAACTAGAGTTTAAATAGTGAGCGAAAATTTTTGTGTGTAAGTTGTGTTAAAATTTAAGGAAATACATTGTAGAATTGTGTAATACTATGTTGGAGAAGTCACATTATTGTGGATCAAATGACACGTTGTAATTATTGTTCCGAAAGTGCCCTAAACGTAGGGAAAGGGTGCTTAAAGCTCGCGTGCGACTATAAATTAGAATAATTTGTGAAATTGCATAAAGCCGGCAACATTGAAGTGTAAATCTCTAAATTACATTGTCGCAAGAGGAAACATTTCAAGAGATAAGTAATCCTCGTAAATGTAACTTTAGAACTTTATTTTTAAAAGAAAAATAATTGTTTATTAAGTATCAAGTGGCTAAAAAGGAGTTTTTGTCACCCCGTGACTAAAACCCGTCATTAAAGTACTTTAGTCACGGACGTGTACAAAGTACCACTTTTTGTGTCTCAAAACCATGAAAAAACTGGTGCTTAAAAACTGAAAGTTAAAAAAATATATAAAAAAGCTAATGACTAAAACGTTTCTCAATAAAATATCATTAGATATTTAATGATTCTATAACCTCTGTAACCATAATGTTGTGATACTCTTTGCATTGATACCAATATTTGATAAATGATAATCTAAAGTGTCGTTTAAACTTCGATTGTCAAAACGAGAAAGTAAATGGGTTTGCGGTTGAGTGCGCACACATCTACCCTTAACTTTAACACATAAAAAAAGAGAAGACAAACCCCTGGACCGTATCGAGGGTTTGGCCATTCTTCCAAATGCATGTGTGACAGTTTGACGGCGTCGCATCAAAATTAAACCCCATTAATTAAATTGCGTCGGATTTCCCGCGACAGATGCCAAGACACGGAGATGACATTTCCGCAAATAATTTTAAAATTCAATTGTGCAAATGTACACACTGCGTTACACACCCGCAACTATTTCACTACACACTACAAGGGTTTTAAACTTTTTATTTCACATGGTAGAGAGTTGAAGAGCGTGTCGTAATCAAAATCGCAATGTTTGGTTGTATTTAGACATGCGTTACTAATTCGGTCACGTGTATGAAAGACCATCAAACGTTTTGAATTTTTCAGAATTGAATTAATTCTTAGCTTAGCTTCTGAGACGGGTTGTGCATTCTGTATACCCCGGAGGGGTTGTGATACATATAGTTAATCACCACTCCAAGAAAAAAAAAGTTAAAATTACATACCTTACTCGCATGGACTTGAAACCTGGAACAGAAAAAAAAGAATGATAGAAATTGTGTTTAATTTGGTTGGATCACAACATGATACAATTTAGACTACGAATTCAACACTATAATTATTCTACTCACGTTGAAAAAATAAAAACCAAAAATTCAAATCCATTATTTTTACATTTAACTATAGGTACATTTATTCTGTGTGAGAAAAATTTTCTGAATATCCTACACACAATATTTTTTCGCCCACTTGTATAACTAAAGTGTTGAGATATTCATTTATCATTAGTCCTCTCCTCTCGGAAGTGAGAATCTTGCGCTTAATATTTATAAATGACAAATGGAAGTAAACCAGAAGACTTTTCCCTTTTCGCTGCTACTGATAAGAAACTGTTAGGCTGGTTGCCTGGCATTAGCTCGTTAGTTGAAGCGAAATTAACAGCTCCACAAGGCGACAAGCGGAAGACGCCGGCAAAAAGACAGAAAAGTAATTGATGAACAGTTTTGTTGACTGACAATTGCCTTACTGATATCTGTTATCTTCTACACTTCCATTAGACTCTAGAATATAATTAATCACAAAGAAAAAATCACTTCGTGTTGATGTTGTGTGATATTGCAGAAAAAAAAATCAATAGATCTCGTGTTTATTTACACTTGAGAAGAGATTGTATTGCGCATTGTATGGATGTGCATCTGGTCGTAAAATTTAAGAATTAAGTGGCCTATTACAAGCCATTGGGAATCAATAAAATGTTTTAAAATTTATTGACGGGCATCTTCCTTTTCCGATGCAGCAATTTGTGGGATTGCAACGACAACTACAACTGCACCCTTTGATGATTTTAAAGGGTGTTCAATTTGATTTGATTCTATAAGCTTGAACAAATTCGCACAATCGAATCACAACCCTTGGTGAAATTTAAGGGTTGCTTTAAAATTTTACTCTCGACAAAGTAAAAAATGGAATTATTTATTTACAATGTTGATATAATGAAATTTTTCGATAATAAAATAAAAACCCGGTGGTTTTTAATTAAAATTCGCTGTTCGCCGCGTTATCTCGTTATCGAATATTGACGCAAATGAATCGACTAATGGATATTTACATAATGAACGCGTCCGCATTTGTCACCGACATTAAACTCACCCCGGAGCGCTAGAAACGCAAAAATAGGTGGTCAAATGTCGGATTCATCATCACGTCCATCGCGGATTTATATTTGCGCTCGTAAACCGCGCGCACAATTTGCATTCGATGTGTAAACCAAAACCAAACGTGGATAATAGATAATAGACTAAAAGATTGAACGTGAAAATTATACACGTTATGAAATCTGTAGTGTTCTATTCTGTAATAATGTCTTTGGTTTATGGGCGTTTATCTGGTGTTAATGTTATGGCACGCATTAGAATCGCTCATTAAAAACGTCCACCGGCTGTCACTTATCGTCGATTTGCAGTTGAGCTTGAATAGAGCTAATGTAAGCATTGGTATAGTCATGTCAACAAAACAAGACAAATTACAGTTAATTATTACAAATTCTAATAATATAACATTTTACATACGAATAGAATACTATACTTTATTCATTTTTTGTTTTTTCAGTGTTTTACAACGTTTTTATTCGTCTAGAGTAAAAAAAACAAAAATATCTTGTTTTAATGATGCCACTATATAAACTTAATGTTATGTTGCTAATGCGTCTGCATAAGTGCATTCTTATCTATATGGATTTTGTCGGACAAGCATTTAAACGCGCTTTAACTTTTTCTCTTTATTTCCAGGCTCATATAAATAAATAAATAAATATTCAAAGCATGACGCGGAATTATTTAATTGACAACGATTGATTGTCGTGATATTACACTCTAGCAACATTGTAACAAGCACTTAATATACACAACGGTCTGCAAAACCGGAAAAAAAGACATTAATAGACACATGACACACTTCGGCCATTGTCCGCACTCATTCACACTGATTTGGTGACAAATGTCTTCGCATTAATAACCAGCAACACTCGCACAAAAAGAAAAGAACCAGGTGTCTTCGGACGTCCACGTAACGGTCAATTATAGACATATCATAAAGCACTCCTAATGAGGCGACATTTATCTCACCGGAACTAGTGAAAGACTCGCGCTATGGGGTGGCGCGTCCAGCCAAACGCAAACAACTATTTATTATAGGCACCTCTACACATCACCAGGATGTTAAAAGTGCAAACATTAGTTTTTATCGTTGGGATAGTATGGTGTGAGCACATTAGAAACATTGTCCCTCGAAAGAGGGTATTCCGGGGTCCCGTACGTGTACAAAAGGGTAATTCCTTTGCGATAAATTAAAAACAAACCCTCCCGACCGGTGTATGCTGGATTTAATCGACTGACCATATCCGATTACGTTTTAAGTAGTCAAGAATGGTTGTTATCTGCGTGCGGGTCGTTTACAGTGCACACACGTTGCTAGAAATGGCGAGAAACACGTGGGTTGAATAAATTTTGTAAATTACATAACCTAATCTACAAAATAGGTTAAATATAGGTTAAATCAAGTAGCGCCATCTATGATTTTGTGGAAAAATTAAATTAATATTTAATTTAGCTTAATGTATGATTCGCCGAGGTTGTAAATTAGATTTTGTTGTGAAATATGAAATGTTTGCGGGTTATTTTGCTTTTTGCTTTAGTTTTACACATGTGCACGGATATAATGTATGCAGACGTTTTATGACGAGATATGAATATAAAGCGCGGCATTAAACGGTGTGAAGGTGTGTTTTCGGGGGGCAAATATGAATTTCGCACGAGATGGCATAATTTACGGAAATGTCGCCTTCGATTTGCATAAGAATGCAAACGACGTGTGCGCCCAAGCAACATTTGTAATTCATTTATTAAATAAAACGACATCACATGAATTATTCATTATTAAAATTAAATATTTTTAAGTTTTTATAAAAATTTATACAAAACCTGTGTTATTTTGGATTTTTGCTAGTACAAATTGAATAAATATGTGGTGTCGTTGCGGAATCGCTTCCGCATGTAAATTCCGATGCGAATTTCAAATTCAAACGCAAATCGCTGGCCATTAACTGGTCGGCGAAAAGTACTAGGAGAGAACTTGGGTGTTAATGCGAGTGGAAAAAGTGGGAATGCTGTACGAAACGGAAAAACTCAATATCAATAAGGATGCGACGTGCGCGATGTCCTGAGTCCTCTTCTGTCTTGAGACATTACGCGTAATGACCTGCGCCATCAAGGCACCAACATAAACCATTCTCGGCGAGGAGGTCCGCGCGTCTCTATTTCGGTTGCGTAATGCGCGGAATTCATCACCCGGCGCACGGCGCGGCGCTAGTCTTTTTTGATAACGCGCTTCCGGGGGTCTCGGGCGTGCGTTAGTTCCGCTCGGTCGCCTGCCTAACTGGATAGAACAAATTACCGAATGGCTTTTCGCCGAAAAGCTTTCCACCAAGCTCTTGTCGTCTACGTCTAGTTTAACTTCCACCACCATGCATGCAGTGAGTGAGTGAGTGCTATTAACAAACAAAAATACCGGTATTTACCGAAAACCTATTTGCTTCGTTTAGTATTACATTAAACCGGTTTTGAATAATCATTACGTTTGGTGCACGTGTAAAACACAACTTGATTGCGTTCTCGCGTGATTTGAATCGTCGCACGATGCGTATTCGGAATTAATTCGACTTAATGCGCATTGTGCACAAGCCTACGAGCATAATCGCTCTCTTTGCAAACACGAAACTCAAGCAGGAAAACAGGATGTTTATACTTAATGCCTATATTGATATAAAACAACATGCACGCATGCAACACAACTTTGTTTAAGGTGGATATTAGTCAATTACGAGCGTTTTTCACTGTTTCGCTTGGTAAACTCTTGGTAATCTTGATGTTTGCTTTGTATGCGAGGTGTTGGGATGGTTGTTTTTATATTTGGATTGCAATTTGTGCTAAGTAAACATGAAATTATGGAGTTGTGTGTTGCGTTATGAATTTGTCACAGCGCGAGGGCGATTATCGCACCAATTTCGTTTTATTACGGCGATTTTCCCCTTATGAGGAAGACGCACACTGTAAGATTCTTATCACACTATCACTCTATCACAATATGCAATAATTCATCGCGTTATGTTGTGTTCAATGCGTGTTTTTCGCATTTTTTCTCATCGTTTCTCTGTTTTTATCTTTTGTCATTAGGAAAAAATACATAAAACATAAAATTAACCTCAAAATATTGACATTTACTATGAGGGCGCCACTTGTATGAAAAAATAATTGTTTTTTGTCTTAAATATCTTTTGTCATTAGAAATAAATGTATAAAATACAAAATTAACCACAAAATAATGATATTTACTGATAGGGCGCCACTTGCATGTAAAGATAAATGATTTTGGTCTAAAATATCTTCTATAATTAGTAAAAAATACATAAAATACAAAATTAACCTCAAAATATTGACATTTAGTGAGAGGGCGCCACTTGTAGGCAATAATAACTGGTCTTGGTCTAAAATAGCTTTTATCCTGAGGACAAAATACACAAAACATAAAATTAACCTCAAAATATTGACATTTACTGAGAGGGCGCCACTTGTACGTAAAAATAACTGATTTGAGTCTAAAATTTAGTTTCTATTATTACAGCTCGTAAAATTATGGCTTTGTTAGTTGCAGTTGAGCGAAAAGTTCATAAAGCGCTCGTAAATCTATCGCGCCCATCGATTCTTCCGCCCGACTGTTTCAGATTCGTATTCTGAATTCAAAATATAAAGTTGAGCACAAACTCAGCATCCTGCGATACAATGAAACTTTGTAGAAGCTTTGGACATTTCGCAATAATTTCATTTTGCGTCGTGCGTCGTAATTCAGCACCCGAGCGAAATGTAAATGAGCGAATTTATTACCCTTAAATTTAATATTTATTTGGCATATTTGGTACGCCATTAAAGTGTTTTTGCTTTAGATTTATGCGCGCACAACGTAAATTGCCACTGTAT